CCCAAGACATTGATTGCCGGTTACGGTCTTGCATGATGCAGTAATAGTTTAATATTGATAGTTTAATAATATATAATATATAATATTACAAACATTGAATCTTAATTATATAATAATAATAATTATAGTGATAATGAAGGTACAATAGTTTATTTATATAATATCATATAGAATACTGCAAAACAATAACTTAAAGAATTTTTGTATTTTGTTTTTTTAATTTGTGAGGGGGGAAGGAGGGGTAATTTTTTTGATAACAAAAATTATAGTTGAAAAAATCAATAATATAATGTAATTAATATTAATATTAAATAATATCATGATGATGGTTGCTCGGTTTCATTATTGGGGTGCTTTGTAATCGACTAACGCACACGTATCATCCACCATCTTGGTGGGCGGGTTGCACGGTACAGTTGGGAGGTTGGGGTCATTGCTTTCGACGCACGAGAAACATTGGCCGACGCATAGGCACATTTTACCGCTATCCGTGCAGTTCTGTTTACAAATGTCTTCGCTGTAGAACTGAGGATTTCCCTTATAATCCGTTGTACAAAAGAGACACAGGAAAGTCGACGAGTTCAGTCTGGGGCCGTTGTTGGAAATGCACGGTCTATGACTTTCGGTGTGGCACGGCGATTGCATGCATTCGTTACACGACGCGAAATTTATGCTGGGTGGTGGTCTACTTGAATTCGTTGTAGAAGTATTATTATCGTTAGATGGTACGGGTGCAGGTGTCTCATCGGAGTACACGTAGATAAAGTTCAAAAGTATGGCGAAAATAAACACGGGCACGACGGTGTACGACAGAAACATTTTGACTTTGCTGTTGTTGTTTTTTCGGAGGAAATCGAGGCTGGTACCTAATGGCTAATATACGGTACTGGGATGTCTGTTATTTCGGAATCTGTTCTTCAACGACGACGAAATTGTTCCGGTCAATGTTTGCGCTTTAATAGTTGATGGACTGACACTACAGTTCCGATCGGTTTAAGTTTCATTTTTAAAGCCTAACGGCTGTCGGGTTCGCGATCGTGTCGTCTTTTAATTGGTCGGGTCTCGTCGTGGTAGGGTTGTGCGATGGGCGGTCGAATCAACACGTCAAAATTATTTTGTTTGACTTCCGTCATACAGTGTGTCACAAAAGTCCCGTTACGCTGTAATTATCTCTGTGTCAAATAATTGAACATTTAAATACATTTTCAAATAGAAAATAATTTTCACATTTCCGTCTAGTACACATTAGTATAATATTGTATATATAATGTATTTTAAACTCGGTTTGTGTTAAATATTGTACCACTACTCACTAATTAATATTAAAAGAATGCAAGATTTATAGATTATTATATTAGTTATATAAAGCTTCAATCATAATAACATTGGTAGGTCCAGGCACATATACAGGGGAGAGGAGAGAGGTTGGGGTTAGGTTATGCATTTTTTACACACCCAAAGTAGAACTTTGAACACTTCAATCTCCAATCCAATAGTGTACATATATAACACTTATAAATATGTCAATATAGTGACTTCCTAATTTTTGGAACCRCAAAACTTAAATCAAGTTAGTGAGATTGATTTTCATTAAGTCATTAACACTATTACTTGTTTACTGAGATTTGAAATTATTATTTGTAAAGAAAGTTTTCGAAAAACCTACATGAATATTCAATCGCAGAACCTACCGTTGCAATTCGCGATTGAAAGCGGAACAGGCGCTGCCTAGTGGAAGTCATCAGAACTATTGTAACGGGGAAGATGTATAGTGGTCCGCACACGCGAAGTACGAATTAATACGTTATTATTTATTTATTGTAATTCATTTTAATATTTTATGAATA